CTCAAGCAGTCTCCAGCCTACCTTAGTCGCGAGCTAACCTTTCATCTCAAGCAGTCTCCCGCCTACCTTAGTGGCGAGCTAACCTTTTATCTTAAGCAGTCTCCAGCCTACCTTAGTCGCGAGCTAACCTTTCATCTCAAGCAGTCTCCCGCCTACCTTAGTCGCGAGCTAACCTTTCATCTTAAGCAGTCTCCAGCCTACCTTAGTCGCGAGCTAACCTTTCATCTCAAGCAGTCTCCCGCCTACCTTAGTGGCGAGCTAACCTTTTATCTTAAGCAGTCTCCAGCCTACCTTAGTCGCGAGCTAACCTTTTATCTCAAGCAGTCTCCCGCCTACCTTAGTCGCGAGCTAACCTTTTATCTCAAGCAGTCTCCAGCCTACCTTAGTCGCGAGCTAACCTTTCATCTCAAGCAGTCTCCCGCCTACCTTAGTGGCGAGCTAACCTTTTATCTTAAGCAGTCTCCAGCCTACCTTAGTCGCGAGCTAACCTTTCATCTCAAGCAGTCTCCCGCCTACCTTAGTGGCGAGCTAACCTTTTATCTTTTTAAATAGTGCTTAACGATGTTGGATTTCCATGGTAAAATTTCTGTACAAAATTATAGATTATACGATTACCGTTATATTAAAACACGAGACTCTTTTGGTAATGACTCTTACTTCTACACTAGAGAGAGTTCACTAGAGAATATTTAAATTGTTCATAACATTTACTGATATACGTATCCATCACAAACAATGGTATACTAACCATCGAGTTAACTATATTGCTAGTTAAATGCATTTGTAAATGCTTCGTCCCTCCAAAAAGTTTGTGCAGTCTGTCTTCATTTAAACAAAATCACGGAGAGACTTCAGAGCCTGGTAACTGCCTGTAGCAACCTTTATAGTTACAAAGCTACAAACTGTGTTTCAAAGCACGTTATATTCACTATCACTCCCCATAGATCTTGTGGTCAGTCTGTAACTGTATCCTGTAATTTTACCATATCAGATTTCAGGACGTGGTTATAGTTGTAATGTCAATAACCAACAATACCAATCGTATAATTTTCTAGTGGGTGTGTTGCGTTCCTTGTAGTTAGCGTCTTCGGTGCGTGAGTAACGGTGTAAACTTCCCACAAAGTCCATAATATTTAATTGGTTTGTACCACTTTCCCAACATTGGTTGTATTACAAAATGTATTTTTATATTGAAATGTATAACTGTGTTCAAGTGTTGTCTATTCAAGTAATTCAAGTAAAAATGCAGATAAATCATTCATGAAACAAGCTCTATATTTCATACAAAAAACACTACAAGTAGTAAATTGTGATAGTGGTGTAGGAAATGACCACATACTTCACTCGATGGTTTCAATAGATTGCGGCTGTATTGGGTTTTATGGCGAATATGAAGACCAAGCTTGCTGAAGTGGAATTCATGGAATTCTCAGTGTGCAAATCCTCTTGATTCAAATACAAGAGGTAGAATAGTATTTTAAATCTCTTTCACACTAGTAGGCAAATATTAATATATAAACTAATATTTGAATGTTTGTTTTACCTATTTGTTATGTAGGTAACGTAAAATACGAAAAATCATTGTATAATTTAAGAAATTATATAATTTTAAACCGTTGATATTGTCTATTATTTTATTATGAATGAAGTATTTTATACACCAACAACATTTTATTGCTGGTTAGCTACCAATAAAACACGTGGCTTGAAGTAGAATGGTCACATGTCCACTTTTATTAGGTTCTTCCCTGTCTTTGTATTCGATCAAACCTTTAAATTGTTTTAGTTTGTTTCTAAGGCTTCACCACCTTGAAGTTCTTAAATATGATTACATCACTGCTATTATTTTCTTCTATTTTACTAGTTTATGTTAAGTGTTTTACAATAGGCAGTATACCTGCAGCTGTGATGACCAAAAATTGAAACTGTTAAAACGTTCATCGATTTCAGTTCATTGATTAAAACCTATACTACAATGAAGAAGTGGAATTGGTATATGCAATTTCAAAACTATCAAGAAATTTTCTTAAATTAACATTTTATTTTACAGTATTTTTTTCAGTAAAAATTTACTAGCTGAACAATATGATTAAATTAATAGTTACTGAATAAAAAAAAATAATATAAATTTATAATATAGAAACATGCGTTATAATTGTGACAATGATTAATTAACCTGTTAAGTTTCTTCACGATGTAAGAAAATAAAGCACTCCTAAATGAAGTTAATAAGTTAATTTGCCAACAGGACCTTTCTGTGAACAATGAGGCTTCAACAAAGTCGAGGGTATTAGTTTTAAGTAGTTGCATAAAGGACCGTCCTTTTGTTTGCTGAGGTTAGTCGGGGTCTGAGATTAATAGAGTTTTCGTTCATTTTTACCTTTTTATTTTATAAGCTTTTAACTTATAGTAATAGTATGAAACTATGATTTAAAACAAACTGTTGAATGTCCATTATAACTCGTATAACATTTTTTTTCAATTTGTATTATTGCCTTAAACACATGTATACGTATATTACTTAAATTATGTTGATAAAACAGGCTAGTGTTTTAGATACCAAACGTATTCATACAATTAATTGATAGGGTAGCTGGTAAATTAGTCTTTTGTGAAGATAATGGTATTGTTTTTTTAGTATCTCCTTTTATTGGTCTGTTATTCAAGTCACAGACAAACAAGATCGCTATGATTCCATTTTGTAAGATAAAAGACACTATAATAAAAGCGTTGAATAACATTGTGAGATGCATCTGTAGACAACTAACCAATAAAACATTATCAGCATCTCTTTAAAAAGCAATAAAATATTATAATAGCCTTATAAGGGTGATGTAAGATTAAGTATTTTCCATTGGGCTAGCAGTTTAAAAATAATAAATACTAAGAAATAATTAAAATTTCAATATGGAAAATAGTATGCAAACATATGCATAACATTTTGTGATAGTTTTTACAATGGTCAACTCATCGCAGATAATGTAACACAATTTCTACGTATGTTATTGTGCGCCATCAGTGCTACTATGTATTATCAATAGAAGCATGGTGAGCATAATGTTATTGCACTTCCATATAAATTGAATCACCAGTTTTTTATGAGTACCTTTTATTATTTCTGTTTTTTATCCATGGGTACATGAAGTAGTAAAATAATAACGAGCATAATAATATTTTATATGATTTATGTTATTTTTTATGTTCATAAATGCAGATTGGGACTTGTAACGATTAAGAATTCAAGCCGTTGTATTTGAACTGATATATTGAAATCAGTTTTAAACCCTTTTAACAACTGTTAAAGGCTACTTAACATACGTCATAAATTTGAGAAAGTGTTGACATTTTATAATTTTAACCTGTTGTAACAAAATACAACAGGTAAATGGATGAGCGAAAGAAAACTTCCTTGTATTGATTATAGCAGGAAAACAAGCTTATTGCTGCATTTACTTACTTTTCCCACACTTATTTTTGCCCCACTCCGGTATTCCAAACACCAACACAAAACAGTGTGTTTTTTATAAGCCACGTAATACCATCGAAACTTTGATGCATAATACGTGTGAATTTGGTAACATTTAAAGATACTACGACTACAAACAGCTAGTGCAGCGTTTCACAGCTTTTTGAATTTTGATACTACGACTTAATTTGCTGTTTCGTGTTCACATTCTGTTTCCGTTAAAAACTTGAATTCAACCTAACCAAAACAAGTTGTTCAGTGTTTGAAAAACAAATCAATTATGTATATGCTTTACAGTAACTGTAGGGAAAATGCAATGTTTAGCTCGAGCGCAAATTTCCTTTGCTGCACATGAGAGTCAAAAGAAATGCTATCTTATCATAACTTCCTTTAACGGTTCCATTTTTAAGGAGTTTACTAACTTGTACTAATGTAAAGTACATAGCTCACGTATTAGAAATTGTGTGTGTTTACTTTAATTCTAGAATATGTAGGTTTCACTTTTCTACCTACTAATAATGACCTACCAAGCTTGACAGGATTTCAAGCAATATACAACCTCTTTACTTTTACATCCTAAAGATCTAAGATTAAAAAAAAAACAAAATGACATTTTGACAAAATCAAACAGATGTCAGATATTGAATTTCCGGTGACAACACAATATGTTTCCGGTTCGTCAGGCTCCTCTTCATCTCAAACAGTTCTCTCGTACATTACATAAATATTTTTCACACGAATGAACAATTTCCGATTTCTGGATCATTAAGCTATTTAGGAAAATTTATTAAATTAATCCAATAAACTTACATGTAACGTTAACGCTTTTGTTAACTGCTTTAACAACGATCTCCCCAAAAACTGAAAGATATATGACTAACAAGTGTCTAATCCTAATAAGAACACCTGAAAAAGTTACCAAAAAGGTGATAACAAATTATTTTATTATTTATATAAAAACAGAAATAAAAGTTACTAAGCAAATAAACAACCATAATAAAGTTTACATATTTAATTGATAACATCAAAATTAAGACCGCTACTACATTTTTGTATAGGTAGGTTAGTAGGTTACTCCCATTAAGCGTTACATACAGACTGTAAATAACAAATAAATAACAAATAATTGCAAAACATAGTTTAAGGAGGAAAAAACTTATCCCTAAATAAATATGGAATCCACTTATTTCTCAGGAGTTTCTGAGGTGTTACAAATACATCTCACGCCTGGAAAGCGTAAAGTGCCAATTAAAACTTTTGCAACTAATTACTGCTACTTCTGAAATCCAAGTATTAGCATATAAAACGGTAGTTAAGGTACTTCTTTTTTTCGTGGTTTTGTAAAAAAAATGTGATGTGTTATTTTTTCAAAATATATAATTAATCCCTTTTACTGTAACTTATTTCTCATTTAGAAAATTCGCTATTCCTCATATCTCATGTTAACACCTGGACCCGTAACCTACTTCCTTTTTCGTACTTTTTCATTGCAGAAGGTAAAGAAAGTAACACAACTTCAAAGTGAATATTTTGTTTTACCAAATATTTGATAGCTTATCAAAAAGAACTTATTTAAATCTTGAGAGGTCAGGAAAGCTTCTTCCTGTTCGACATTTTACTTTCCGTTAGTTTTAACTGATCTTCTTTACTGCAGTGAGAGCCTTCGTCTCCAAGGCCATATGGTTTTGAATCACTCGTTTTAAGATAATAGGTTCCACGGATACCTCTATGAACAATAAATAGAAATTAAAGTTAATAAAAAAATAAAACCAAAAGATTTATCATTTAATTATATTGTAGAAGTCATATTTTTAAAGAAATATGTTCTATGTAGTGTCTCGATAAATAATATAAGTATATTTCAACATATTTATAGTGATAAATGAATATACTTACCGGTTGCGTATCGGAAATGAGATGAATGTTTGTTTATTTCTCTCACAAAGACAGTTTGTAAACCTTGGCCAAATGTCGCATTTTCGAGCCTGGAATTTGCTTGGGAAAAGAATGATGTACCAAAACCTCGGAGTTACCCGTAAATGACTGCAAGTGAACGCTGTAAAACAAACTTACTATGTGAATAGTGCTGTGTCTGATGTTATGGTTGAAAACCTTGACGTATAGATTAGAATATTAGTTTAAAATTCACATGATTATAAAATTTTGGCTAGGAGTTCTTTTAGTTTGTTTCGCATATATGACAACCATTAATAAAAATATACAAAATCTTAATCTACAAATGTGCTGTCTCCTCTTTGCATATTTTAAAACTTATAAATATTTGTAGCCTTAGTATTTTAAACGTGTGTGGCTGTTAGTGTGGTTATTTTTAAATATAGTAAACTGGTGTCCGGTAAAAATTTATTATAGTACATCAGTACGTCATAAAATCACATTTGGTTAAGGAAGCGGAAAACAGCTCTTTTCCGGACTACATTCTTGAGTGGAAATTCCATTTTCTTTTTTTTTTGTCCTACGACGCTAGGCACGAGCTCGGAATTGTTGTTCACATTACGTCAGGCTATACCTAGGGGTTACGGCATAATCACTTAGATAATATCCATTGGTGATTTGGCAGGATTTGAACCCGGAACCCCAGGAACCGGAGTCCCGCGCTCTAACCACTACACCAGCTCGCTCTCCAATGAACTTTAAAACAGTGTAGTGTAGCGAAACTACTTCAAAACATGTTGGCTATCTAAGAGACCGCATATCACATTCGATCCTATACTAAGTCCTATACTAATATTTAAATACGAGCTTAGTCTGTTTGTCTGTAAGATAAATCTCTCGAAATCCAGTGAAAGGATGTTTACAAAATGGAATTAGGAACTTATATCCCTAAAAAAGTGATTGGTACATACTCAACTCATTTGAAAATTAAAACATTTAACATTGACCTTATGGGTTGCTAAGGAATTATGTTGGTTGAGTAAAATAACAAGGAAAAATTCAACAAAATACTTGTAACATGTGTTTACAACAAGCCATCCACAGTATACAAGCAAATTATAAAATACAGTACAAAACAGGAACACTATATAAAGGACCGTTCAAAGTGATGAACATCAGTTGTAACTATTGAGCAATAGCACAGCCACCTCTAATACACAGAGCAAGTCAGTGTTGAGTGATGAGTGTTTCAAAATTGTGCCGTATGAGTGCACTGGCATCAACAAAATGTTTCACTCTTTTTAAGGGTTGAGTTTACAACTTTTACGCACTCCTTTTTATATTTTTACATAATTTAGACATCTTTACTCATAATAAATTCATATTTCACTGGAACTTAAATAATAAAAGCCAAAATTAGCTGTAAAAACATAGGTTTCCTTTATATTGCATTTACAATAAAAAAAACTTTAACGTGCCATGGCTAGGTCCCCTGGTACTATTAGTAACACGTTTAACACACTAATTTGTTGATACAATATTTGTAATACCTTTAGCTAATTCAATTTGTTATTAAGTTATTCTTTTGAAACACCATGACCCATCATCCCCACCCTGTTTTCACCAACGTATCAAAATCTGGTTATTACATTATAATTAACACCTTTTCACAAGCCAAATCATACTTAACTGTAACAACTTACGTTCATAGATAAGTTTGAGCTTCAAAATTCTTCTAAAAGGATTTTTACATTCTGGTTGTATGAAGCCGTCATTGAACACAAAGTCAGCTGATCCTATCCTCTCCCTCGTACCCTCTACATAGGAATTTGTGTGTAGGATGTGTACATCATCCGCATCCTCTTTGCTTACTTGTATCAGGTTCTCGTTGTAATTTGCACTGTATGGTTCAAGACCTGAAAACACATTTAGCTCTGCTTATCTTTTTATAGTGTCTATAATACCAGAGTAGCTCCAACGAAGAATGCAGACTCATTCTCTCTTATTGGTTCTCGCTCGCCACATGATTGCTCGTTGTCGTCTGGATTGGATGCCGTCACTGTACTGTTGCTGAGTTTGGAGACGTCATATTCTCCATAATCGGATTGGAGATCCAGTTGTGCATTTTAGGAGTTAATTGGTAGATCTAAGTCTAACTGAAATCCTCCTAATGTAGTTGAATTGTCGTTGTACTAAGCATATTAAAACCTACCTGTTTAAACAGTGTGTTTGTATACTATTTTTTTTCTACCATATCCATACAAAATATGTTATTTATGTATAATGTGTGGTTATGCTACATGTATTCAAGAACACCATCATGTACTTTCTACATGTACGTAAGAAAGAAATAAAGCATATACTTACTAAATATTGAACTGATTTTCGAGTCTTTAGCATCCTCAATAATCCTAGCTATATACCCAGAGAGATTGCCCGAGTAGCTGTAGCTAATAATATTGATTTTCCTTGGAGTCCAATGTCGGTGTTTTATCCCATATAGGAAAAAAGAAGAGAGCACTTCTGCCATATCCTTAAAAATTATAACAACCACAGAATCAATTCAACTTGTATTTAAAATCAACGAATGTAAAACACTTACAGGAATCAAGCAAAACGTGTCAAATAAGTAAGAAGATACAATGCCAATGTTATGACTTTAGTAAGAAGTTGATATAATTTATTAATAAATGTACAGAATGTTTGAAATTTCACAAAAACAGTAAAAATAAATATCTGGTCTCTTTACAACGAATTCAGCTTCTTAAGTCACATATATAGTGGGCGATTGTATATTCAGAATCCAAGACAGTAACTATCAAACCGACTGTACTTGCACCTTCTAAAAACGTTATACTTCATCTTATATTGGTATATTAATTTTATTTTCACTTCATAATTACTGTAACTTAACCTTCATCTATCTAGAAGAAGCCCCTCTTCTTTAACTTTGATTGGAAGTTATTAATTATTTAATCTTAATCAACATGATTAGCGAATGTTAGAATGATGATTTTTTTTAACCTTGTAGTTGTAAATCTTCTATTCTTTGTTAAAGGAAAATTTACGACAGTAATAGTTAATCAAACAAGCTATGTTAGCTTAGGCTATTCGATACTTGAAATTGGCTAAAAATAGGTGTTTTAATCCCTGATTCTAGCAATTGGGTGTAGGCACATGATCAATGGCGATTCAATTGGCAATTAAACACAACTAGTTTTGACCAACTAGGAGGTCATCACCAGGTGAGTACAAGGTATTCATTTAAACCGTTATTATTAGTGATTCTTCAGAATCCGGAGGCTATTCAAATCACAATCAACTTAATTTCCTACTTTGGCCAACTTACTTCATATCGGGTTTTATATCCTGCAAATTCCCGTATTATGGTGAAGTACATGTTTATGTTCAGTAGTGGCATGTGAAACAGAAATATGTTATAATATCTGTGAAGGTTCCTCATTCCAAGTGCTAAAACAATTAAAAAGTTATCTAAGTTGGAGCTATATTTTATCGTACAGTATCTGCACCAAGAGAAGGTAAAATATTTACATTCGGTTATTGTTAGGTTAGGTTTATTGTAATGAAGTCACAAATTTAAACTTTCAGCTGATGCAAAGTAATGTAATTTACTACCGTATTATTGACGCTTGAACGTTTATTATCCTTGAGAGCACTAAATATGTCTTTAGTAAAGAGTTCTTTTAGTACAGTAGTCTAAAGTTAAAAAAAAAACTTGTAAAGAAGAAGTATAATAAATTATCAATTATTTAAGATAGGGACGCGACCAAGTGCGTATTCTATCCAAAATATGAGTGAAGTATGAGTGGCGCGATCTTGTAGTCTTGTTAGTTAAACTATTATTCGCTTTCCTTCTTGTCATGAAATAACCATAAGATGAACGTCAAATTATATAAAGTAATGTAGCAAGGATTGCAACGGTGTTTTTATAAGGCTGTATGTCCGATATGCTCCTGGAACCTAATGTGTGCCTTTTTCATAGTTTTCTATGAAATATAACTGGAAAGTAAATACTGTGAAATGAACCTGGCGCAAGGTTAATTTGTTCTTGTTAATTGAAATCTTTATAAAACTGTTTTATTATGAGCTATAAAAATATTAAACTAAATAAAAATAAATGTTTTCCATCTCTAACACGAACTTTTAAGAAGTGTCATTTTTGTTGTTTTTGCCCCCTGATCACAACATAAATTAATACTAGAGGTTAAAATACCTTTATCAGTCCATGTAATCATGTCACCGATGAGCGGCGAACACCTGGACTTGTTTGTCTGGACTTGTAACTCAATGTAGGCGAACGATCCACCATGCAGGCGATTTGTGGCCACACGTGTTCATGTGTTTATATAAAAAATTCCTTTCTTCACCTGAGGATGACCTCATTGTCGGGTTAAAACCGGTTGCCACTCATCGGGGACAGGATCACATTGAAATAGGACCTGTAGCAATAGTTTGGGAATTGTGTTTTTTTTTTATTCTTACAAATGAAACGTCAAAAGGTGTAATGTATGTGTTTTATGTTTTTAAGTTCTGTACCTGTCACTGTGGGTTTCATAAAATACCCTTCATCACCATGAGAGAACATGGGGTGGATTATGACGATTGACTCCAGATTTTCTTTGAACTCGGGTGTTGAATCCGATCCCATCATTGTGAAAAGTTGCCCAGCTTCTGCGAGAGGTTTTTCTACATAATCATACCCATTGTTGCTTCTTAGAATTTCATACGCTTCTGCCACCGATCCTTGAAACTCATCCCGTTGTTCCTCGTATGTTATACCTTTTGGTCTCCAGGATTTCCTGAACAGGAAAACAATTTAGTAAAAAAGTAGTAGCTGACACGAAAAAAAAATATTTTTGTCAAACATGAGTAGCTGTTTTTAAATGCGTATTGGTTTAGTTTTAAGATTGATTAGTTTCATTAAATATTTTTTCTTCTTTTTAAATCTAATTATTTGGCTTGAAAATAATAAAATGCTTTCTTTAAAGGATTTTTTAAATACACACATTTTTATCAATAGTATCGTAACGTTTTTAACGTACAATTGCTAAATATTTTCTGTCACAATATAACCTGCCAACTAGAACGCGTTAAATTTATTTCCAAAACATTAAAAACATTGTATTGTCTTATAACCTTTCGTATCACATCTGAGTTATATCGCTTGAAGATTAAACCATAAGAAATCGCATAATTAACAAATATGTGTAAAACTAATCTTTTACCGTATTACAAATTATTACTCTACTAATGTAATGTATGTACGTGTAACTGTATGAGGAGGACGTACTTTATTAATCGAACCGTTATTTTTGAAGACAAATTTTCTTTATCCCAGATTCCTCCCCCAAAGACGTTGGAAATCGACGTACCACTGATAGCATGACTGTACTGAGCAGCAAACCCTGAAACATCAACTATTTTGATATGTTTTCAAATTGGGGATTGGGATTGGACAAATTGAATGTCGCAAGCCCATAAATGCGTAAGAAAATGTTTAGGAGACGAGAGGCAATATTTTATAATAAAACAACCGATAAAAATAGGTAAATAGGTCCTTATCAAAATATACTAAAATTAAACCACAAATATTATTTACTGTTGTCAAGTCAGAACTTAAAATAATTGTTCTAGATTGGTATTACGTGTCTACTGTATGTACACGATGAACTATATGTTAAAGATGTCCGGATCAGCACGCGGTTTAGCAGCGAAGTCTTGGGTTTTAACCATTAGACCATCTACACTTCAAAAAACTTCAGACTAGACCATAAGTTTAAGCCGGACGGAATCTTTCATCTGATATCCGAACTATAAAGAAACTTCAACTCCTTGATAACTGGTAACTTTTGCTGTTCCGACAAGTCAAATATAAATTTCCATGTCATGAATTAAAAATTAATTAAATATATTTTGCTCTTTCCCAGTTTAGTTTCAAAACACACATTTTCCATTTGGTATTTTTGTCTAACTTAACTTAAAAAAATTATATAATTTGATCAAATATACAGACGTGGGACCAGACTAGCTAATAATAAATGCACCCCAGGCACAATTAGCCTGAGTAAAATGGCTGTAATTAACACAATAGCTTATACATAATGTTCTAAGCTGTAACTCGACATGTCATGTTACAATATACTTAGTAACTTGTTTCCTAGTGAATAATCCTCATGGAAACATCGCAGGAAAGATGTATTTTACTTTGACAAGGGTTTGATATATAGGTAAGCCTAAATCCACAGTTCAATCACATGGGTTTGACGCATTATTACTTATTAAGTGAAGAATTGTAGTTTTGAAACAGATTGTTTATAAAAAGATTCATTTAACCAAACTTGAAATGGGGCATGTTGGAGCCTCGTGGGAAGCCTCAGTAGCTTTAAGGCAGGAGGTTTAATTCCCGGTATTTCTACAAAGGTTTTTGCGTGGTTTTAACCTCTTTCCCTTGAAAGCATTTCTGATTATTTGCACAAAAATACCACTAACGAAATACCACTGGCTACGAAATGCTACAAATATATTTTGCATATCCTTTGTCTTTGATTATTAGTTATGTTTAAAGATGTTTAAAATGTATTAACCCTTGCCACTGAGCTGTTTGTTTAAGATGCACCAGTTGTAATACGTAATATTGGGGAGCGAGGTGGTAAAGAGTGGGACTACGGTCCTTGATGTCCCGGGCTCACATCCCACCAAATCATCAATGGATTTTAGCTAAGTGATAATGGAACTAACATGCCACAGCTTCTACATCTAGCCTGAAATAATGTGAAAACCAAATCTCAAGCTCGTGTCTAGCGTCTTAGACAAAAATGTATTTCTAACATCTTGCTTATAATCCTAACAGATCCAATGCTTAGATGTTTAAGGGTAAAAAATTGCTTATGATAGAAAGACATTTTCTCAAGGTATTATTTTGAGTAATGTAATTTACTTAATATTAACACATTAACAGTGAATTAAGGGTTTATTGTTGAGTAAAATCTATTGACAAATAGAACGATAACAGTCAGACACCCCGAAGATAAAGAAAGAACAAGGCCAAGATAGAACTGCAATTTTAAAACATACTACAAATCAGACATTTCATAATGACTAATTGCCAAGTACTCTTATATTTTTTTGTATTTAGGTATTTCTGTGTCAGTAACAAAACTCAGTAGGTAATTAAACTTTTTTATTCATCACTATTCGTTATTATGTATTATTTTCTTCAATCTGTATCTAGATTCTGTTGTTTTTCTATTAGGAATTTGTCAGTTGAGCGGATTTAGTCGAAATGTATAACATCTAACAATCAACATACTGTTTTAATATTGTTACAAAAATATATGTTCAAACACATTATTGCTTCCCTAAAAAGTGTTAAGTATTGCTAGTTTATGAAATTTTAAGAAATACTTCCACGATAGAAAAATCAAAATATAGAAAGCAATTTACTGTTGATTTGGCTAAATACGTCCAAATACAACCAACTACTATCATATAATATATCAGTTCCAATGTATCACTTGTATTGTTCATTCAAGTCACGGGAATTTAAGCATCGCTGGGCCTTTTAACAAATTTAAGTAAAAAGTGTCAGCCCGTTATGTAAATTAAAGGGTAATTTCATTGACTGCTGATAGTAAGTGGTTGTTCGTATCTATTGATACAAAAAAAATTAAAAAATAAATTAATAAAAAAAAATAAAAATTAACTATCAACTATATATTGTGTTGATACAAAGATATTTTAAAGTTGTAATGAGCCTAAAGCCCCTAAAGCAAACGCTACTGATGGAAAGATATTCTGTAATTGTAACTGGAAAAAATACGAAATATACATCAATGTTTTCTAATATTAAATATAAAGTTAGAGTCGTAATAAAAATTACATGTTTCTGGAATGGTTCTTGTTGTTTCAATTCGAAATATATTATTGACACCTTTAAAAAAAAAGGATAAGAGTATTACATAATACAAAATAGGTTTCTTATTATATTATATACATCCATTTGGACAATCATCTAAATCTTGTATTTTACTAAATGATAAGCAAAGTCTATAAGTTTCACTGTATGTCACTATGTTTTCCACTAAGTTGTATGATGTTTTATAGAATGAAATTCATTGAGAGCTATCATTGCACGTGTTTACAGTACATTGAGATGTACATAAATTATATAACCAATGAACTAAATCCTAAAGGAAAGCCAAGCTCAATATTAATAAATACCTTAGGTTTACCAAAGAGATGGAAATCCTTTGATGTTTCCAGAGAATTTGAATTCAATATGTATTTTGTATGAAAGAGCAAACCTGAAATACTTATAGTTACTGAAAAATAATTTTATCACAGTTTAAACTTATCTAGAAAAAATTGTTTCTTTACTTTCTTAACTTTTTAAATTGTTTGCTTATTCTTATGTGTAAACATTTGTAGGAAAAATACAAATTTTAACATATCGAGTGTTAACGAATTATTTTATCTTTTCTAGTTATCAAACCCCTGCAACGGTTAGCCATTGTAAATAACTTAAATGTTGAGGTTATGTACAATTCCATATATTTAGATGGATTAAGAAAATTGTTTACGTAGTAAAATGGAAGGTTGTGAATTGTTGGAAGGTTATGTTGCGGTTGATTGAAGTCAAGGTGAAAGACGGGAAATCTTAATGATTTTATCGACTTTTAACGATGATTTAGTTCAAATTAAATAATAGTTAGTTAAATATATTTCATTATTAATATTGTAATTTAATTTCTCCCACCCTTTTAGCTAATAAGTATTCTGTGACAGAATATAAAATAGTTGTTTCAAAATAATATATTATTCATAGACGTTATTTTTTTATCATTAGAAATTTATTGATAAACCCTACTGACATTATTATATTGTCTGTGCTACTTATGTCTCTAAAATTCAAAGATTGGATTTACTTTTATTTTTTCAACCAATGTAAATGACTGGGTAGTATATTGTGTAGCTCAGCAACAAAGTAAATTGTATCAAAATAAGTATATAATATCGACAAAATAGGTTTAAAAAATTTTAAAAACTCTCATCAGGAAACACCCAGGAAGAGCTTGAATAAAATAACGCAACGACTTCCGCTTATCACAAAGCGGTTCAAACGGCCATGATTTGTCAACCGGATATCCGGTCTGGACAAAGGGGTCTGGGAATGTAACAGTTGTGAAACAACCCCATCTACCTTTTTGTAGGAATGTTTACTCCTGGCAGATATTTAAAAAAAAATGCCCTGTTGCTATGGAATAAAAATATTAATCACAACCATAACAATAATTACTATCATCTATCTTATTATATTTAGAAGGACGTGTATGTTAGTTTATGAGGCACAGAGAATTTCGTATTACCTGGGCTTTAATTGAAGAATTTAGGTAAAACATATCTTTTTAATGTGACATACAGGGAAATTAATTATTCATTGTTTTTGCTTCACTATATTAAATTTTGAATGATCTTTTTACCCGTTGATTATCTCCAAAGGAAGAAATTTGAAATACTACACCATCAGATAAAATCGTTGTAATGGATTTATTCTTATTAGGTAGGTGATCCTAGTGATATTTACAAGTTATTGTTGTTTATTCTATGACAAAAAAATTATCGTTCATTGTGAACGAGTTGGGTAATGTCATTGCATTTTAAATGTTCCCTTACATTTAATACTTTTGTTTAAAAAAGTTAAAAGTATTATTCATTCTGATAGCCCCTGGACTACGAATAATGACTTATATAGGCTTACCTCCGTCAGTAGTCCAAAATTGTGTCTTTTTCAACTAATGTTGTTCAAAGCTTACATGTTTCGTTGCACTGCAACATCGTCAGAGCTTTTTGTCAAAAACATCAAATGATTTACACATAAAACAAAACACGGAACACGAAACATTTAAACACGTAATAACACGATAGCGCTATCGACACGGCACGGCAGCGGTTGTAGGTAGACTGGACACGGGTTAAGTAACTTCGTCCCGTCCTTCTCTGTTATCAGCTCGGTGGTCAGCTGTTCCAGATGAGATAACGGTGTTGAAGAGGGAGTGGGACTTGAATTGTAGTTTATCATTGAGGATGTATTCCTTGTGTTCTTCGTTTACGTTCATTTTATATATCTCATACTCCTCAAGTGTGTCCAACTTATTACCTTTCCCGCAAAAATGTAGAACTTCCAAGCCGTTCTTAATATCACTCATTGAGTGATTACAATCTACAAGATGTTGAGCAAACGCAGATTTTTGTTTATGGTGTTTAGGATCTGGTCGGTGTTCTTTATATCGTGTTTGAAAGGCACGACCTGTTTGCCCTATGTATTTGATAGGACAATCCGGACAAGATATCCTATACACGCCGGTCTTATCTACTTTGTCACCTATCTCATCCACCCATCTCATAA